GAAGGAAGGAAGGAAGGAAGGAAGGAAGGAAGGAAGGAAGGAAGGAAGGAAGGAAGGAAGGAAAATTATGAGAGTGAGTGAGGGTCTGAGACTGAGGCAAATCCTGCATTAGCTCTTGGCCACCAGCAGCCCTGCTAGCTTTTGCCATCCCCTTGTCCCCTCCTCCTGACCTGTCCTGGTGGTCTCCCATCCTATCACCGAGGATGCTTGTTTACAAAGCTGGGTCTCCTCATAAGAAGATGGAATGGGTCTCCCTCCAACCAACACACTTTGCCCTCCCGCACACACCATGACCAATCTGGCCAAGGAGAGGGAGCATAGCAGCAATGGGAGCTGGCCACACCCATCATGGCCACACCCATCCCAGGCACCCAAAGTCAACCATAATCCTGATGCAGCCCTCAATGAAATTGAGTTTGACACCCCTGCAATATGGGAATGAAATAATGGACATCTTTCAATTTCATTGTACACATGTGCATTGACAATAAACATTTGATTTGATCACACATAGTTTTGAAGGACTCAGGAAGTACTGTCCTGGACACTGGATTCTTTTAAAATTAAATTATTAAAATATTTACATGTTCTCTTATTATGTTTATTCTTTGGATATATTACTTTATTCTTTTTATCTTGCCAGCTACATGGAATGTGTTTGCACAACGTTGGCTCTGTCAGCTAAGAAACAGTGTATGGTAGTACCTACTAGAGTTGGACACAACTGGACAGGAAAACCTTTACCTTTATTATCACTTTCAGAGAGCTAATCCAAAGGACTAATGCTTTGTTTAGTTTCTTGACTTCCAAATTAATTCATGATATGTATAAACCTAGATGGGATGCTGAGAAGGCATGATGGAATGCAACTGACCAGATCAATAAACCTTGGTGTTCCTATTAATGACAAATGTTTCTATCTATTTCATTCAGGTTTGCTATAGAAAAATGATTTTGCATTTATGGTATCATGCTGAATAGGAACAGCAAAAACACATTAACATCAATGGTGAAATCAATTGTACAATATGTTAGTATTATTAAACCAAATTAAATCAAATAAATCAGATTCAGGTATATTTGTATAAAGATAGTTCCTGTTATTTATTATGCTATTATTTATACTTTTCAATTACTGTTATAATCTGCTACAGGCATTACAGCCCAGCTGAATTAGGAATTTATATAACATTCAAATATACATCAGTAAAAAAACATAAACATGACATAAATATGTAATGTGGCAAAAGAATAGGGGAGATTGAAATTTCAAACAGATCTCAAGGATCTGAATAAATAATAGTTGGGCATAATGGCAAAAAGATGCAAGTATAAGCTTAGCCATGTCTTTTAAGATATAGTGTTGTACAAGCCATTATCCAAAGGGCCATCTACATGATCCATCTAACAAATACAATCTTCCTCTCTTTAGTTATATAGTCCTATATATGATCTCCTTGATCACTTCTAGTGATCATTCTCATTCTCAGTCATCAAGAATGAATTCTTTTAAAGATTTTATGCTAAATGTTCACCCCTTGAGTTATTTGTAAAAATAGTAAATATAGGATATAAGATAGATATAGATGATAGATAGATCGATAGATGGATAGATAGATAGATGATAGACAGATTAAACAGAACATCATTTAGGTTCACTTTTAGACAACAACATGCTTCTGGATGGGCTGAAATTTTCATTGTTATATACTAAGAGGCAGATTTATAGTAGGGTACAGATTTAGCCTGCAGTTTACAACTGATAACCAAAAGCAAAAATCCAACAAAATTGAAAAGGGGAAACACAGCTGAGAAAGAAGACAATCTGAAGATCAGAGATTGGATACACCAAAAGCAACCACAGAGTTTCAAGGAAAAAATCAGACACAGTTAATAACTCATGGTGACAGCAGAAGTTCAGAGCAGTATGTGAAACCGAGGATCAAAAGCTTGAACAGCAGGAAGCAGGAAAAGAAGTATAATAGCTTATACAACTAGAATATCCATGGCAGGATCTTAGGCATAAATGAATCTTCCAACATCTCCTTTGGCACAAAATATGTTACCTGCCTGTTTATAAATTTTCAAAAGATACTTAAAAGAAGAATCAGTAACATGTTGCAAAGTGCCAAGTTCCAGCACCACCTCCATTTGCAAAAATGACTCTAAAACCTGTACCTGAAACTTCTTTAGATACCCAAGGCTCTGTCTGTGAAGTTGTGTATCTAAAAGCCTCATCTGGTGCAAAACAAACAAACAAATAAACAATTCTGCCAAAGGAGATGATTTATGCTCTGGAGATTCTAGTTGTGCAAAATCCAGAGTGTTTACCAATTCGTGATATTAGAAACACTGTGAGTTGTTGGCTGGGCACACATTACAGGTTTTTGCTGTTGTCTTTAAAATATGGAACAATTTGGGTTTTGATACAGGAGAAAGTACAGCAAATCCTTAACTAACAACCACAAGTGACCCCAAAATTTATGTTGCTAAGTAAAACATTGTTTAACTGAGCTCTCTCCCATTTTATGACCTTTCTTCCCACAACTGTTAGGTAAATCATTGCAGTTGTTCATTTAATAACATAGTGGTTAAATGAATCTGGCTTCCCCATTGATTTTACTTGTCAGAAGGTCATGTGACTCTGGGATGCTGCAATCATCATAAATATGAACCAGTTGCCAAGTATCTGAATTTTGATCATGTGACGAGATGCTGCAATGTTATAAGTGTGAAAAATGGCCATAAGTCCTTTTTTCAGTAGTGTTATAACCTTGAATGGTCATTAAATGAACTGTTGTAAATAGAGGCTATCTGTAGTTATCACAATACAATGTGTAGCACTGTTCTATAAGATATCCTTAGCACTGATTTCAATTTGAGACACATTGAATAGCCTTTGGTAGGGTTCTCAAACTGTAAATTAGAATCTCTTGGATTTTGTTCAGTCCTACTCTTTCTACTTTTAGGAAATACGTTAAGACTTCTATTTTTATCCAGATCTTTTCAGTCTTTTCATCAGTATTTGTTATGTTTTTAATCAAAATTTTAATGCTTAATTGCTTTGCATTCTTTCTGGAAAGAAAGGCAGAATACAATCCACTTGAGTGAATTATAGTCAAATTAAAAAATAAACAAACATACCCAGGTTGAAGTTTACATTTGCAAATATGAAGTGTATTCATGATTAATTGAAAAATTCTGCTTAATATTCATCTTAAATCAATGAAACTTCACCCCCCTATATGACAAGAGTCCTTTGATTTTATCAACATGTAAAGAAAACAAATGAGTTTACTGCCACCAATCATTATTTATTAATATAACTGTTAAAATTGCATATACATTTGCATACAAATGAAATTGATGCAGAAAATTCAAACATTTCCAAATAAACAAAAGTAAAGAAATTGAGACATGTTTATCTTAGATTTGTTTATAATGTTGTTGTTTCTATTGATGAATATATTAAAGAAATCTCTATTGCAATTCTGCACAAAAGATGAAAGTAATCCATCACAGAAAATAAAATGTTGATAGACTTCTTCTTAGTGTTGCTTTGCTGAGCTTGAAGTCAGTTGCTTTATTATCTGGATCCCCCAAAATGCAATGCAGAGGGAAAATAATACCTGTTGTATGAAATATAAACACAGAAAAAACATTTTTATTTACTTAAGAATTATGCAATATTATGAAGATATGTATGTTGTCAAATTACAACATTATTGTAATAATCTGCTAATAATTTTCAATAATGTAAGATATATTAAAGAAAGAGACAAGATGTTTTAAATCCCTCCAGTGGAATTTTATAGAAAGATCGTTAACCAATATTGATTTCCAATATTCCAGTCAGTTTTTGTACTGGTGTGCTAATTTGTTTAGGGATGCATATTGTTGGTGGACAGAGCAGAAATTAGTGGTATCACAGCTAAAATTGGGCAGAATGGTTTCTTTTTTAATGTCTCTGCTCTGTTTTTTTTTCTTTTCTCTTTCTTTGCAATGGACTGCTCTGGAAAGTAAATAGAGGACTGTGTTAACTTAGCTTGATGCATTCCACAGCTGCAAGTTGTCTCCCCATGCTGTGAAAATGATGTATTCAATGAACATGCCTCTGGGAACTGAATCTGTGGAGGCCATATGGTTTGGAAAGAGTCAAGAATCAGTAGAGGTATGCATCCATAATAGAAATCCAAGATGCTATTGGAAAGATGGGAGGACCATCTGAATATAAGGAAATGTGGTTGGCTTGGAATGATATAGACAGAGGATTTATGAAAAACTAGTTGCATTATCCAAGAAAGAATTAAGTACAGATCTAATTGTGGTCTTCTAAAGAGTTTAACAAGCCAAAAATGTCCCTGAAGGTGAGGGCTTGATTATGTTCTGGAATTCTATTGATTGGAAAATCCCATTCAGTTCCATTAGGATTTACATAGGCTAAATATCTTGAGACTTGCGCAGCAATTAAAGTCATACATTTAAATGTTGTCAAGAGTGCATAAATTCAGTTAACAGTAATTCAAATTTTCCTTCTGCCATTTATATATATATATATCATTATATATATATCATTCCCAAGGAAGGAAGGAAGGAAGAGAGGGAGGGTGGGAGGGAGGGACAGAGGAAGGAATGAGGGAAGAGAGGGAGGACGGGAGGGAGGGAGGGAGGGAGGAAGGAGAGATAACCCATTATTTGAATAATGATAACAACAACATAATAGTACACAAAAAAGTCTGCACAGTGGGCACAGCAATATCTGCAGACAGCATAATAAAAGAGAAATAATTGGAGAAAATCATAAAATACAAAGATTTACAAATATACTTAGAACAGCTGTAGCAAAAGGAAGAAAGGATAGCACCAATAGTAATAGGCATCTTGGATCCAATCCTAAAACCACTGGAGCGCTACTTGAACCATCAGCATTGGCAAAATTATTAATCAATGGCATAAGGTAGTTTTACTTGGAATAACTTACATCCTGCAAGAGTACCTTTTAATACCATAAAACATTGATATCTTGGGAAGGACTTGATAGGTAGATAAAAATGCCAGTCTAAGCATCTGGATGATTGTGCAACAAAACATAATAATACAAGTAACATGTTTCACTACTTCAGTCCAATATTAATGTATTGGATAGCAAAATGTCCCCAAATAATACACATTTGTAGCATGAAATAAACAAATGGACCTTACTTTACACCATCATGTTACAACTGCAAAAATCTTGATATCCCCAATAATATTTATTTATTTATTTATCAAAAAGTTACAAATGACAATATGCATTTTAATGCTTGTAGTTTAAACAATGTAGTTTACATTGTCAAAGAAAAAAAACACCAGGTCCATTTATCTCTGTAAACATTCTGTAATAAAAAATAACTTTGTGGCTAGTTTTGTCTCATATAACTGAAAGGTTCTGTTGATAAATTAATTAGTAATATTGCAGTTTGAAAAAGAACTAAAATTAAAATATTAAGTATTGTGGTTCTCTACAAACAGAATATTTCAAGGTAATTTAGACATAATTACTTTTGAGTAAATATGAACAGTTTGTATGGAACATATTACCATTCAGTCTTAATTTTGAAATTTTGTTTGCTTTTGACATCTGCAATTTAGAAACAAATTAGATATATGAACAGGGAAAAGTATTTTTCTATCAGATATGAAAATATTTTTTCTAATGCACCAAGTTCATATAAGAGAATTTTTCTTCTTCTTGGAATTGCAGAATAGTGTTAATTTTTGAAGGGAGAAGTAGGTCTTGCTTATCATTTATTTTATTTTCAATTCATACCTGTACAGTCCCTTTAATCATTTCTGAGAACATTTTGAGTTATTCCTTCCAAGTAATGTAATATAGAGAAGCATTATAAGAAGGAAAAGATTTCCCAGGCTCCTAATATATCTTCAGTATTTGGCAAAGGTAGATCTCTTTCAAAGTCTTTTGTAGTTTGCATTCAACTTGGTATCTAGTCTGAATTAGACTAGTGAAGGGCTTGGATATACATATATGTGCAACTATCAACATATACGTATAGTAAGTGTAGCTACCATGTTTCTGCAACAATATGGCCTCCACCAATAGGAAGCCCCACCATGTTTTATTGGCATAAAATCAAATTAAGCCCCTCCCCCAAATTAAGGCCCATATTAAACATGCAAAATGGGGGGGAATGGTGGGGGGGCTTGCCATTAGGGAGTATTTTTGTTGCATGCCCGGATATTGAGCTGCCTACGTTAGTGGGGTTCTTCATATCGGGAGACCTTCCGCCACCATTGCTTTCCCTTCTCCCTTGCTGCCGTGGCGTTAGAGCAATGCCGCGGCATTTGGAGCAGCCAAATGCGGCCAGCCAGGGGTCCTCTGTGCAACTGGAGCCCTGAGGAGACACTTGGCTTCAGGCGCTCCTGTCGCCGCTTTCCCTGTCTTCGAAGGTAAAGCGAATTATTTTAAAAATGACACTCTACTACAACAAAGCCTCCCCTGCCCAAGAGGGCAGCCCAACCCCACCTGGGGAGGTGAATCTCCCGAGACTGCAGCGCAGAGTCGATCCCCCTCGGGAGAAGCGCCTAACCACCATCCCTGCCTGGCGCCGGGCAGAGCGTGAAGTGCTTCGCCTGGGGCATCCAGTGCAGCTGACAGGGGGGCCCTCCTTCCCGGCAGCAGAGCTCTCACCAAGGCAGAAAGCGCCTCCCCACCAGACCCTCTGCTCATCCCGCCAGGGCCATGCCAGAGCCGCGGGTGTTTTCCCAGCTCTGCCCAGCCTGCACGGCTCTGGCGTGGCCCTGGCGGGATGAGTGGAGGGCCAGCACAGAGGTGCTCACTGTCTTGGTGAGAGCTCTGCCGCCAGGAAGGAGGGCCCACCTGTCTGCTGCACTGGGCACCCCAGGCGAAGCTCTTCGTGCTCTGCCCAGCGCCAGGCAGGGATGGCAGCTGGGCACTTCTCCCGAGGTGGGCCGATCCTGCACTGCAGCCCTGGGAGATTCACCTCCCTACATGGGGCTGGGCAGGGGAGGCTTTGTTGTAGTAGGGTGTCATTTTTAAAATAATTCGCTTTACCTTCGAAGCAAAGGGAAGGTGGCGACAGGAGCGCCTGAAGCCAAGTGTCTCCTCAGGGCTCCGGTTGCAGGGAGGAGCCCTGACTGGCCGCATGTGGCTGTGCCAAATGCCACGGCATTGCTCTAACGCTGCGGCAGCAAGGGAGAAGGCAAAGCAACGGTGGCGGAAGGTCTCCCGAACATCCAAGCTGTCGCCGCCCCCCCACCCGAGGATGAAAGGGGGGGTATTAGGTCACCCCTGAAAAGATGGCCTAGCCGTTTTTTGGGGGGTCAAAAAAAATAAGGCCCGGCCTTATTTTGTGAGAAACATGGTATACATATAC